TTTGCTTATTTGAAGTTATTTCAGATATGTCTTCAATCATATTAGAGCAAAGCGAAACACAGCAAATTTAGAACTCCATTTAGCCCTGTGTGGTACGTGCCTCACGTGGCCATTACTGTGCTAGATGACCTTCAGTCAGTTCTTTAGCTGATGGTCATCACGCCATTTGCACGATGAATCTTGCTCCATTGTTGCCATACTCTGCTGTGGGCAAGTAATCATGTATTTGTTCGTAAGAACTTGTGGACTTCACCAAATGGGAGCAACAGAGAGTGAGGTATGGGATCGGATTTGATTTGTTCCCACATGCTCTCTCTCTCTCTCTCTCTCTCTCTCTCTCTCTCTCTCTCTCTCTCTCTCTCTCTCTCTCTCTCTCTCTCTCTCGCCGCCTTATGAATCTGGTGCTGGTTAAGAAGCAGGTTCTGGTTCTGTATGGTTCTGGTTAAGAAGCAGGTTCTGGTTCTGTCTGGTTCTGGTTCTGGTTACTCTAGGTGGAGTGGTGGTGGTGGTTATGAAGCTTGTTATGAAACTCGTTATGAAGCTCGTTATGAAACTTGTGGTTAATAAAAGCATAACCGTAACCTAAACGAGTTTATGAGGAACAAGTGTAGCTGAGTAGTGCTCTTGGGGAACAGTAAAGTGAGTTGGCCAGTCCTGTGTAACTCTGGTTGAGGTCATTGGCTGAGATTTGCTAGCAGAGTGGGTTAGCGCTTGGGGAATGGTTATGTGTATATTCATCCCACACTTTTGCCCCCAACACAACGCACAGTCCTTTTCAACCGTACTTAGACTGACTGAAAGTTGTCCCCAAGTACAGCTGCAATGACCATGCACTCTATTCAGGGCCAGGGGAAGAGAGTAATGGTAGGAGAAAATTGGAAGAAACTGAGTTGATGGAGTCAGGATAACGCTCATTGAGGGAAGGGGTTGGTGGGGTGATTCTGGTGGCGGGAAAATATGCAGCAGGATGAGCGAGAAGTCAAGCGACAACGGAGGAAGCAGTCCAACCGAGAGTCCGCAAGAAGATCCCGACTGAGGAAACAGGTGTGCACCATTGTTGTGAAGTTTCAGGGAAAGTTCACTGTTTGTAAAGGTTTTTGACAATTTGTTATTTCATTTCCTAAAATAACCTTCTTAGCCATGAGGCATTCGAAGAGTTGGGAAGCATTTCCTAAAAAATAACCTTCCACTTTTTTTGCTGTCCTCTACTGTTTAGGAAATTAGGAGTAGTGACCTTTTACTCAAAAGAGAAGGCAATTAGGGGAAAAGGAAAAAAGAAAAAACAGGAGTAATGAGTCTAATGACCCCTGGCAATAACTAGCAAGCACTGGTCGGTACTGAGAGGAAGGTCTGAATGGATAGAGAGAGAGAGAGAGAGAGAGAGAGAGAGAGAGAGAGAGAGAGAGA